GCTCTTGACCTGGCAATCTGATGCCATGTCTTTCGAATGTTGAGTTTTTTCTCATTTCATCTGATCTCATCGCATCGCAGCTTCTCTTGGAAATCGCTCATTGCATCCCTCTGTCAAAGCAGTCTGTGTCATCCCATCTCATCTCAACTCATCTCATGCCTTCTGAGTTTTTTCACCGCATCTCATCTCATCCCATCTGATGTCTTCTCTCCCTTTCTCAGCTCTTCTCAGCTGATCACAACTGCTCTCATCCCTTCTCATGTCACCTGAGCTTTTCTCATCTCTTCTCATCTCTTCTCATCTCATCTTAGCTTATCTCAGCTTTTCAGATTTTCACAGCTCTTCTCATCTCTTCTCAGCTCTCCGCAGCTCATGTAAGCTCATCTTATGTGTTCTCATCTCTTCTCTCCTTTTCTCACATCTTCTGAGCTCTTCTCACATCTACTCAGCTGATCTCAGCTCTTGTCAGCTCGTCTCACCTCATCTCAGCTCTTCTCAGCGCACTCTCAAATCATCTCACCTTTCCTCTGGCCCAAAACCTGCTCTAAAAACGGATCTCGGCGCCAAAGCAAGCAACCCCTACGTTTTCCACAGAGAATATTTGACACAGAGAAGCTTTTACACACAGCAAGCTTTTGCACAGAGAAGCTTGTACACGCAGAAGCTTTTACACAGAGTTAGAGAAGCTTTTATAGACAGCAAACTTTTGCACAAAGCAAGCTTTTGCACACAGCAAACTTTTACACACAGCAAACTTTTACACAGAGAAGCTCTTAAACAGAGAAGCTCTTGCACACAGAAGCTTTTACACACAGCAAGCTTTCACACAGAGAAGCCCTTACAAAGAGAAGCTTTTACACAGAAGCTTTTACACAGAGAAGCTTTTACACACAGAAGCTTTTACACATAGCAAACTTTCACACACAGCCAGCTTTTACACAGAAAAGCTTTTGCACACAGAAAGCTTTCATACAGAGAAGCATTTACACAGAGGAGCTTTTACACACAGAAGCCTTTACACACAGCAGCTTTCACACACAGCCAGCTTTTACACAGAAAGCTTTTACACAGAGCAAGCATTTACACAGAGAAGCTTTTACACACAGCAAACTTTTACACAGAGAAGCTTTTAAACAGAGAAGCTTTTGCACACAGGAGGAGCTTTTACACAGCCAGCTTTTACACAGAGAAGCTTTTTTACAGAGAAAAAAATACACTGAGAAGCTTTTGCACAGAGAAGATTTTACACACAGCAAGCTTTTAAACTCAGAAAATCTGCTGACAAATCACTATCGCAGCCTTGATGCAGCCACTCCAATACGATTCACGATGTCCAGCTGCAAAAGACAATAGTATTACGCACGCAACCGCGGCGCCAAGCAACCTTGAAGCAGCCATTACAATGTGATTTGCAAAGACCGAGTTGCAAAACACAGAAGAACTACGCGCAACGGCGTCAGAAATTGCAGCTCCAAAACCGGATCTCGACGCCAAAGCAAAGAAAAAAAGACGATTTTGAAACACTTTTGACAAGCAATTTTTAAAAGGAAAATCACCAGCGCCAAAATTGAAAAAACCTCTGACAAATCACTATCGCAGCCTTAATTCAACCATTCCAATACGATTTACGATGTCCAGCTGCAAAAGACAATAGTATTACTACGCCAACTTTGACCATCCGCTATCTCTCACAAACGCATTTCGTGCGAGACTTCCCTCTGAAAGTGAAAGCTGAAGATATGAAAACGAAGCTTTTCGTGCGAGACTTCCCTCCACAGGTGAAAGCTGAAGATATGAAAACGAAGCTTTCGTTCAAGATTTCCCTCAAAATGTGAAAGTGAAAGATGTGAAAACGAAGCTTTCGTGCGAGACACCCTTCAAATTTTGAAAGTTCAAAGTGTGAAAATGAAGCCTGAACTCGCAGTTCCAATAAGGGGCCGATCCGACCATGATCCGAACATAGCGGAGACCGTCTCGCAACCGTCCCCCGGACAAGCTTCCCCATCCTCCTTCTGGGACACGTTTTGTCCTGCAAACACAGCATGTATTTGTCCGCTATCTCTCAAAAAGGCATTTTGTGCGAGACTTCCCTCCAAAAGTGAAAGTGGAACATGTGAAAATGAAGCTTTCGTGTGAGACGTCCCTCAAGAAGTGAAAGTGGAAGATGCGAAAATGTAGCTTCGTCCGAGACGTCCCTCAAAAAGTAAAAGTTGAAGATGTTAAAACGAAGCTTTCGTGCTAGACTTCCCTCAAAATCTGAAAGTGCAAGATGTGAAAACGAAGCTTTCGTGCGAGACGCCCCTCAAAATCTGGAAGTGGAAGACTCAAAAAGTGAAAGCTAAAGATGTGGAAACGAAGCTTTCGTGCGAGATGTCACTCAAAATCTGAAAGTGGAAGATGTGAAAGCAAAGGTTTTATGCGAGACTTCCCTCAAAAAGTGCTTAGAGCGGAAGATGTGAAAACGAAGCTTTGGTGCGAGACACCCTTCAAATTCTGCAAGTTCAAAGTGTGAAAATGAAGCCTGAACTCGCGGTTCCAATGCGGGGCCGATCCGACCATGATCCGAACATAGCCGAGACCGTCTCGCAACCGTCCGTCGGACAAGCTTCCCCATCCTTCTTCCGGGACACGTTTTCTCCTGCAAAACACAGCTTTTCGTTCATCCGCTATCTGTCAAAAACACATTTTGAGCGAGTCTTCCCTCCAAAAGTGAAAGCTGAAGATATGAAAACGAAGCTTTGGTGCACTTCCCTCAAAAACTAAAAGTGGAACATGCAAAAATGAAGCTTTCGTGCGAGACGTCCCTCAAAAAGTGCGAGTTGAAGATGTGAAACGAAGCTTTCGCGCGAGACTTCCCTCAAAATGAAAGTGGAAGATATGAAAGCGTGTGAAAACGTCCTTCAAATTCCGAAAGTTCAAAGTGTGAAAATGAAGCCTGAACTCGCAGTTCCAATGCGGGGCCGATCCGACCATGATCCGAACATAGCCGAGACCGTCTCGCAACTGTCCGCCGGACAAGCTTCCCCATCCTTCTTCCGGGGCACGTTTTGTCCTTGCAAAACACAGCATTTCGTGCATCCGCGATCTCTCAAAAACGCATTTCGTGCAAGACTTCCCTCCAAAAGTGACAGCTGAAGATATGAAAACGAAGCTTTGGTGCGAGACTTCCCTCAAAAAAGTGGAAGTGGAAGATGCGAAAATGTAGCTTTCGTCCGAGACGTCCCTCAAAAAGTAAAAGTTGAAGATGTTAAAACGAAGCTTTCGTGCTAGACTTCCTTCAAAAAGTGCTTAAAGTGGAAGATGTGAAAACGAAGCTTTGGTGCGAGACTTCCTTCAAATTTTGAAAGTTCAAGTTGCGAAAAGTAAGCCTGAACTGGCAGTTCCAATGCGCGGCCGATCCGAGCATTATCCCGGTACAAACGAGCGTGTTCCGCAACCGTCCGCCAGACAAGCTTCCCCATGCATCTTCCGAGGCACGTTTTGTCCTGCAAAACACAGAATTTCGTTCATCTGCTAACTCTCAAAACGCATTTCGTGCGAGCCTTCCCTCAAAATCTGAAAGTGAAAACGAAGCTTTGGTGCGAGACTTCCCGCAAATTCTGGCAGTGGAAGATGTGAAAACGAAGCTTTCGTGCGAGACGAAGATGTAAGAACGAAGCTTTCGTGCAAGACTTCCTTCAAAAAAGTGACAGTTGAAGATGTGAAAACGAAGCTTTCGTGCCCCTCAAAAAGTGAAAGACGTCCATCAAAATCTGGAACTTCCCTCAAAAAATGAGAGTGGAAGATGTGAAAACGAAGCTTTCGTGGGAGACTTCCCTCAAAAAGTGAAAGTTGAAGATGTGGAAACGAAGCTTTCGTGCGAGACTTCCTTTTCAACATTCAGTCATTCAATTCAATTCAATTCAGTTCAATTCAATTCAATTTAATTCAGTTCAACTCAGATCATTTCAATTCAATTCATTCCTTCATTCTTTCAGTCTTGGCCGCATAAATATCCGTAACGCGGAAGTTCCTTCAAATTTCCTTTGACTATTTTTTGGATTCTCTTGGATTTTCCTACCCAGCATATCCTAAAATTGCTGGCTCGCTTGGAAATGAAGACCCTTCGTCCACAGGAACATTATGATTGGTTTCTCTTTAGGAGTGCTGTTGAGAGACTATGACAGACTTGACTGTTTGTTTTCTGTTTGAAGTTGTCGCCGTCTGAGCATGTTTGAGTCACTGGTTTGACCTGGTCCAGTTTGGGAAGTTCACATGTCGATGTTCCAGGCTGACCAGTCCTACCGCAACATCAGAAAACTGAGGCTGGACCGGTGGAGACATGGGTAATGCATGGTAATGCTGTCAACGCTTCAAACGAACACAGCAAACGAACCAAACGAACATGACGAAAACCAAACGAACACCAAATTTAGCCTTGAATTAGCCAAATAGCAATCGCTCGGAAACACGCCCAAAATCTCCAGTGAGGCGAGCGTTCTATCCAGACTCGTTCGAGAAAGAGAAGTACAACCGGCCAATGTTTCCAGATGTTTCCAGCAAGTTCGTGATTGCATCTTGCATTTGCTTGCATTTGCTTGAATTTGTTTGCTGTTTCTTTTGGTTCTATTGTTACCGGCAACGGAACACCTAAGAGTAAGTCAGGGACAAGACATGCCAGACTACGGCTTTGATGCAACGGAAACGACACACATGCCAAATACATGTGCAAAAACGAGGAAGTAGAGTCGATGAGAAGCAGGAACTGGATCTTTTTAATCTGTTTAAACCAACGACAGGACTACCAGAGACCTGATCATCGCCAATGTCCTCCACTGAGTGCAGTTTGATTGTCTTCCATTTATTCACCTTGCGGCAGAAACAATCTTCTTGCAAATTTGCAACAATTTGGAGACAAGGAGTGACAAGGAGTGACAGGGAAAAATGTTTTCCCCAATCCATTGTGGCCACTTCCTGCCGTAGGTCAGTTCGCTGGTTGGTAGTCATGGACTTTTGCAGAGATGAAACAGGGTGGCCGTCCGCCAGAGTCGCCAGAGTCGCCAGAGGCTCAAAGTAAGGACAACACTTCCCTGCCGATGGCAAGATTTTGGACTGAATTTCCATCACTTAGCACTGCGGTGCAGTATTTATGATGTTGGCTGTGCGTCACTTGTGCCTTTCTTTTCGGCTTCGTATCATTTTGTATCCCATCCCTCTCAAACTTGCAGAGGCCAAACGCATGAACCACAGCCTTCCACTTCCCTAAATTTCCATGTATTTCCCCTACGTTCTAAGGATTTGATGAACGAAAAAGCTGACCACGACAAAATCTGCTTTATCATCTTCAAAGAAGATGTTGCATGCGAACGTTACAACTTGGCGCGGTGCTAGTGAGTGCTAGCCAGCGTTTAGAAGGAAGTATAGAATGTTGGTTTGCCATTGTGCTGTACGCATACTGCATCAAATTGCACTAGCAGCTAGCAAATCTTTGATTGCTTTGTTCCGATTGTTCGAAACACTCACCTAGAGCGTTTGCCAGTTTCTATTTCATCTTGAAACAGTCTCGGAATTTGTTCAAGCCAACTGGTTAGCTTTTGCGTGGTTGGAGAGTGTGTGACATATCGTTCACATGGCCAAAATGACTTGTGGTGCTCCTGTGGCCGTGAGCAACAATTGACTCTCTAAGCCTCAGCAGGTACTTTTGCTTCTTTGTTCAGTGAAAACGAACTGCTGCACGTGGCTCTCAGCACCTTATGCCTTTGCTCTCAGAGTTGAGCTCAGGTCCCTGTCCCAGGAAATCTTGTTGCGGACTCTTGCCTTCAACAGGTTGAGACAATTTGAGACAATTTGAACGCAGCTCCAAAGCAGCTCCAAAGCCACAGAGCACAACAATGCACGACATGCAATTGATTGACTCATACCGACCGAATCCGACCAACCTACAAAACTCAGTTGAATGGCAGTTGAATGGGGCATTTTTGGATTTGGGATAGTCTGATACGATTACAGCGATTTCCAACTTGAAGAATGGCTTTTTGACAATCGTCGCAGCTTCTGATAGATTTTGGTAGCATAGATAAATGATGTGTTTCACTTGCAAAAGCTGCAAGCTTTCCAAGTTGTCTTCAGCTGTCTTCAGATGTCTTTAGTCTTTCCATGTCTTTCCAATCTACTGCTTTTCTGTCATTTTCTAGGCCTTGTCTCTGGATGAATCCCATCCGACTCGAAGCTGAGGTGAAGCATGGAGGCGTTGGAACCCTGGATTCCTTGGATTCCTTGGAAGTGTGGTGGTCCATGAAGGTCCTGCAAGTTCGGATGCGAAAGGGTCAAGGTGGGGTAGGGTAGAACTTCTGGTGCTCGTGGGATCTCGGAGTTCTGGACACCTAAACACTGTGCATAGAAGATATAGAAGTCAGTGGTCTGCAGTGGTCTGCAGTGGTCTGCAGTGGTCTGCAGTGGTCTGCAGTGGTCTGCAGTGGTCTGCAGTGGTCTGCAGTGTACAATGTGTTCTATGATGTTGTATGATGTTCTATGTACATTCTGGCTGTACGATTATTTTTGTGACTATTTTTGCTGCACACTGGGCTGACTTTTGGTCAACGTCCCAGATCGAGCTTTGAGCTGCACCAAGGCCTACACCTCCTTTGTCCAAGGTCTTCCCCAATGGACAGGCCATGCAGGCGGCACCTCTCAGCCTCTCAGAAAAAGATCGAATCTTTCACGCGAAGCTGCAAACTTTGTATTTCCTGGGCAGGATTTGGCTGTTTGGATCAGGCATAGTTTGATTCTGCAAAATCTTCAGGTGGTCAGGTTTTCGTCACCCATACTGGTTGCATGAAAGAATCGCATTGTTTGAGAGCCACACTGCAGGTTGCCCATCCAGGCGAGGGAACATAGGGCTGAACACCTTTTCAAAATTTTCCAGTGGTTCTGAAATGATTTGAGATTCTCTACTGAAAGATGTTGGAAAACCGAATTGAGTTAGAAACTCTGCAGGTTCCTTCCGAGCTTTGAGTTGCGGTGGACGTAACATGTAGAATCTGTAGAGCGTCCTTTTGGGAGCCATTTTGATGAACTACGAGGCTACGAGAGTTGGTGTAACTCATTCTGTGGAAAAGCATATGGAAAGGACAATTCTTGTCACCAGCCATAACCCCAGTTTGGGCATGCTGGACATGCCTGTTGCCCTTGCCTCGCCATGAGGCCCAAGCTTTGAGAATGAGGAGACTCATGGCAATGCCATGGGCGCCGCAAAGAGAACGGACGTGACTTCCCTGCGATCCGATTTTTCCATTAGATCGGCCTGATTCTGTCGGACTTGTAGCATCTTGTACCCAACTTGTCACATTTTATCACTGGAGCTGTCCTTTGAAACAGGCCGATTCCAGTGCTTCGGACATGTAGGAGCCGGTCTACCTGCCACCCTTGCGGGTGACGGCTCCCCGACCAAGGCTTGTGAAATTGAAACTTCCGGTTGAACATAGAATCGAACGAATCGATATGAATCGATCATAGGCTTCTATTTACCGGCACGCACAACTATAAAGCGACGTGAAGGCTTTATGATCTGGATTAACCATGATTGACCCATAATGCTGTATAACACGATTGAACTTGTAGGTGCACGCCACTGGGCACCGTGTGTGTGGCAAGAGTTCAGACGCAGGCAGCCTGGTGGGACGGAGTTCTACGGTGCCGTGCCCAAACACAGCGCCACTTTTGCATGGTCAGAGTTGTGTGCAACGTTGGGAAGCCCAGGAAGACTAAGGAAACTGACTGAGAAGCTTTGTCATTTGGCAAGAAGGTTGCCCGTTTTTTTTTGCCAAAGTGAATAACTTCTTTTCAGAGCTTCAGATATTTCATAGTCCTCCAAGGAGGAATGCGTTCTATGTACAACTCGTTGTGCAACGCAGTGTATAAGGTGTGTAGCGATTCGAATAATTACTAAAGATACATGATCAAGGTCAGCGAGGTCAGCGACAGACACAATGACCACGTATATAACCAGCTAGACCGCTCACTCAGTCACCTCGCCAGAGATTACTGCCTCACTGAATCATTGCCTAAACTAAACATGGTCAAACAATTATTACTATGTGGGAGCACTGGCTTATACGGAATCCGTTAACATCAACAGGTGCTGGGTTTGGAAGTGGGACGAGTAAGAGTATGCGCGAAAGAGTTTTCTCAAGTCAAGCGTGTGGATGCATGGGTGAAAGAGAGATCTCAATCGTGGTCAGACTATGTTGTTCACTCTCGCGCTCGTTTATGAGCACTGCAATCAACTATATTTCGCCCGCATTTCCAGTTCTTCAGTCGAAGACTTCTTGCTCACAGTGTCCAAAATGGCCTTGCAGAGGTGAACATAGCTGAACATCGTGAACTAGGTTTAACTTAAATTGAGTTCTACAACATTTACAACATTTACAACCTGTGTGTTACAATGCATCCGTTTGGCACTGCAAAAACATCTCGGCATTTCTCTGCTCAAATCGAGGCCGGATCCGGAGGGCTCTTTGGCGCCCGTGCCGCAGGTCCCAATGAAGTCCTGGTGCGCCCACCTGGACTTTTGATATTTGATTTGTTTCCGAGCTATGCTCTAGTGATGCTCTAGTGCAGGATTACGATTCTCTAAAATTGCAAAGAACCATAGGGGGCAGCTTTGACTCCCCTATCCACCCCATACGCTGGTGACCAGTCACATCCTTCCATTTGACTTATTGAAGAGAGAAGGATAGAGAAGGCACATTTTCTTGTTGTGAACGCGGAGGTACAACTCATATGTCTACGTACCTGAGCAGAACATGGGCCAGGACAGCTGGGAAATGTCAGGCATAGAATTATCGGTAGGGATATGGGAGCAAGAACATCACGACGCAAGACAGGACGTTCCAGTCAAGACATCCAAAAAGACATCCAAAGACATCCAAAGACATGTTTAGGTCTTATCACAGTCTTATCCGCGTTGAGCCTTCCACTCTGCATAGAACGTCGCTTTCTTCGCCCATCCCAGAGGATCGACAATATCTTACGCGCTTTGCAAAAGGTCCGAATGGTGAGTGGGTTGACGTTGTGAAGGCAGGGCATACGAGTACAGAATACAAAACTATTGGCGCAACGGGCCGGAAAGCGATTTTATGCTGAAGATACGGAGAATGACGAGGTGATTTCAAGTTTTAAGCAAAGCTTTGTGGAATCTTGACAGGCTCTGATGAAAATGAAGCTCCACCCACGTCTCAACTCTCAGGCAAGGCAACTTCTTGATGCAATGGACGCTGCCCAGCAGAGGCAGTTTCTTGGCAGAACTTGACGCAAAGGCGTCCTGAAATCAGGAAAGCTAGCTTCTGCTAGCTGAAACCCCTCTTGCTTTATCAAGTTATTCGGCAGGGGCTGGAATCTCCAATCGCATGAAACTTCACAGTTAACTACCTCCCCCCAAAAAATCTGAAATGCATATATGATATGGTACTTTGTTCTGATTTGTGAAAAAGGAATGAGGGGGTGATATGGTAGGTTGTTATGTTCTTTTGATAGTTTAAACATGAGTTGTTATGCTGCTATAATATGCGTATATATATAAAAATACACATACAGACATACATTACTAAAACTTCTTTGAACTACTAAAGTTTTAGACATTTTTCCCGTCCCCTTTCACAAGCAGTTTTGCCCTGGCTCAATCCCCCTGGGGACATTGTCGCCAGACCATATTATCGTTACCATCAGCATCATCAGCATCAGCAGCATCAGCATCATCAGACTTACTCTCCACTTCGTATCTCCCAATTCCTCACACACCGCTCTTTCACTATACCTGCCTCTTTCGCCCTTTACCCTCCCAACGTTCTTTGTTTTCTGTTAATTCCCTACACATGTGTTTAGATTTGTTTAGAGGATCCAAGAGCGAATCTCCCAAAAGGCATGGTGCGGTTTTTCTTTTGTGGTCTAAGGATGCGTGAGGAAATGGAGCGTGTCTCGTGCTTAGCATCTTTTGGAGCATTGAGGACACTGAGGATTTGTCATAAAATACTCAGGACACCAAAGCCTTGGGCCGTCCTTGGCCAAATGCAATGCATGGGTCCACAGACTACATAGATCTTTACTAAGTCAGAATGATGTCCTTGCAGTAAGTCCTGAGTCCAATTGCCCGAATGTATAGTTCTTGTCCTACCTTTTCTAATTTTTCTTTTCTTCCGCATGTTGCAAGTCAATTTGTTCAGAGGAAATGGTCCTCTCTGGCATGAGCCATCTTGGAGATGCTGTCGAAGCAGACGGGCAAGTCATCAGCGGCATCCAGCGCACCCACTACGTGGATCCGTGACCCGCAAAGTTCATCAAAGTTCCAAGGTGTTCACTGTATGTCCCTATACCATCTATAGTAATCTATAGTGTCTCTCTACTGTGTCTCTGTCTCTATACCTTTGCTTTACATTGCTTTACGGCATAGCACAGGAGGTGGCAAAGTTTCGCAGGCTTCGTGACTGTCCTGTGACCGAGTTGCAGGTACTCTGGAGAGAAGCTCATTGCTTGCAAGCGCTTTGGCTTGTCAAACAGAGAGGGAGAAAGAGAGAGAGAGAGAGAGAGAGGAAAAGTAAAAGTGAACGCCGTAACGCCAGTGAAAGATATCAAGTTTAAAGTGCTGCTAAACATTGTAAAGCTGAAAGTCCAGTGGACGCTTGTTGAACACACATGGTCAGCACTTTTGTGCATGTCTGCATCATTTTGACTCGTATTTTGACTCTCAAAGAACTGATGACTAAGGGGGCAGCTTCAAACTAGGGAAGAGATCTTGAGTCAGTGCGCTGCTGGCGATGAGTGGCAGTCTCCATACACCCGCAACGAGGACAATGAAGGGAACATATCATGTTCTTGCTTGACTTAGGGCTCAGATTGTGCCTCGGTTTATTTCATCAGATAGGTCACTGTTTGAATTTAGTGCAAGAGATGGTGATGCCCAGTGAAAAAGGTTCTTTGGGCATCATTGAAGTAGTCTCACTTCTCCTCGGAGTTTTAATGAGTTTTAAATCTGACACTCTGAAATCTGAAACACCCTTTTTGCTTGATCAGGTTCTGCCATCAAACTCAGCACTTTCAGCATTTGCTATAGGCTACAGGTCTTGAAGGAACACACCATAGCTTATAGCATTTCAAGCACCATAAGATCAAAGTCCAATGTCCTCAATGGCTGTGGAGGTACCACATCCGCGGCGCAGTGACTTGCCAAGTGGGTGCCGGGAGTGCTTGGTCCGTGACAAAGACTGTCTCTCTGTCTCGCTCTGGTAGGCTTTGATTTTTTTTTTGCATGGCACCATGACCATCAACGATACATTTGTGGGCTGTTTATGACAATGGGTCAAACCGAGTAATACCGAGTTATACCACTCGGTTTCATAGGGATTGTTAATATTCACAACAGGAATAGCTATGGACCATCCCATACAAAAGGATGAGATCGGTGGGTTCCAAGCAATTTACAGCCGAACTCCAGCATGCACAAGAATCAGTTTGTGGTGTAAATTGCCAAGCAGTATATAGAGCTCCTAAATCCTCATTTGTATCCTTTGAGTATCGAAAGAGATGAAGACAAATCAGTTGAGCACTTGATCTGACAGGTCCTACCACCAGAGGAGTGGTTTGACTTTGACAACCTTCGATTCCCTTGGCCTTTTGCAAAGTCTGGGCCTCGCAGATTACAGAATGCGTTCAAGCTCCGAGATTTTTCAGAAGGGCTTGGCGCTTGCTTGACGCTTATTTTTTCGTCCTCGGTGTTGGAAATCGTGTACGGGTCTCTGGGCGCTTTCGTTGATTTGCTTTCCAGAGATGATAGTCTTCCTGTCTTGAAATGTGTTTGCTGTTCTGGTAGGGCTATTTGGTTGGACGTATTCATGCTCTGTCCAGAAGCTTTACACTCTGTTTGCTTCTCGTTTGTTTTGCTTTGGGCTTATTGGAGGACAGGACCATCCTCTCAACATGGCTCTTTGGGAATATCATGTTGAAGAATTACTGAGCGCCCTTCGCCCGCAGCCTGCTCTCCAAATCTTCTGTTGCTAATCTTCTTGTCGGGAATTTGGTTAAAACCTTTCGTTGGGGAGTCTTATGCTTTGGAGAACCTTATGTCTTGTGAGCCTTCTGGTTGTGGAACCCCCTTTTTTGGAACCGCGCCTTCGGAAACTGTTTTGTCGGAAAACCTTGCATTGATATTGCTTTTGGCATTGCTTTCGTTTAGATTTAGAACCTTGGAAAGTATTTTACAGCCCTCTTGTTGACAAGTTGCTGTTCGGAACAGTTTATTGTGCGAACCCCTGCTTCAGAACGTTTTTGTTATTCCCTGGTGTGTGGTGTACTTCAAGGCAACCAGTTGGATTCTTCACATTCACTGCACGTAACTCCGTCCTGATGATGTAGTTCAAGATGTAGTTCGAGCGTGAGGTTCCAAGCTTACATCCCCTACTATCGTCACTGTAGTCTGTAGCAGGCACAGGATGCACTCTGTGTGCAAGATAGGTGCGATTGTATTGTTGCATGTGCCATAGTTTGCGTCCCCCAAGGTATGCAATTATGCAGGACTTGCGATGGTCTCTTGTATATTCATGCAGCTTGCAGCATTCCTGCTCGCTTCCTGAAGTGGAAGCTGCAATGTCTGAGGCATGACCCCAACAAGCCTGTATCACAGCACACGCATGGGACCCAAATCAAGACAAAGAGAGCACTGCAAGACTGCTTTGCTCAATTCGTGCTTCGTCAAGCAATGGCCATCTCAATCAAGAAGCAATCGCAGTGCTCTGTTTGGCCCAGTAAAGCATGGGTAGAAGGTTCAAAGAGGCGTTCTGCATCCAGCAACGATTAGTGCCACGAGTTCAGATGACCTGACCTGCATTTGGCTTGCAAGGTTTGACTGGTTTGACCGACGCAACGTCTACATTCCAAAAGACTCTAGGCCACGGCGCTTTCTGGCGACAAAATTGTTTGGTTGGCAGTGTACCTGGAAGGTTGCTGACATGTTTGGAAGCACGCTCCTTCCCTTGCAATGTGGAATTGTGGCTTGTAGTCTTACCAGATAGTGCCCGGCACTCGCCGTGGCGGAAGTTTTGAAAACAGGAAATGCCTATAGTATCCTATAGTTATATATAGGAAATCAATGGCCTACCATAGGAGAGCTTTTGCGATGCAGAAGCAGTGAATTGCTGAAGTTGTGAGGTGCATCCACGAATGAGAAAATGGTGGTCGAGATGCCAATGAAATGAAATAATCCGTGCACAGCTCACTGAGTGAACCACTGAACCAATGAATCAGTGAAACAATGAATCAATGAATGATGAAATCAATGAGTCAATGGATGAGGGAATTCGTGAGTTGATGAATCAGTTAATCAGTATATCAGAATCAATGAAACAGTGAATCAACAAATCAAAGAACCAATGAACCAATGGTTCAACGACTCAATGAATCAAAGAATCTATGTTTCAACGATTCAGTGAGTGAGTGAATCAATGGATGAGTGAATCCACGAATCAATGAATCAATGGTTCAACGACTCAATGAATCAATGAATCAATGCATCATTGAATCAACGAAGCAATGAATCAATGGTTCAACGATTCAGTGAGTCAATGAACCAATGAAGCAATGCACCAAGGAACCAATGAATTAATGAATCAATGAATCTTGCCAACCTCATCATCCAAACGTGTTCCAATCCCCGCAGTTCTTTACGGTTTTGAAGTGCAAATTCAACTCTCGCTACAGTCTCGGGCACATTTTGCCAGCTTCATTGTCCAAAGTGCTTCGATCCCCTCAGATTTTTTTTGGCGCATTTGAAGTGCACAGAAAATCCTTCCAATTGCAAATCGAGCTCCCGCTACTGTCTGGTGCACATTTTGCCGACCTCATTTTCCAAAAGTGCTCCGATCCCCTCAGTTTTTCGCGGCATTGAAATGCAAATTGAGCTCGCCCTACAGTCTGGTGCACATTTCGCGGACACCATCTTCCAAAAGTGCTCCGGGACCGTGAGTTATTTTTTTGGCATATTCAAGTGCAAGTCGAACTCTCGCCAGTCCTCTGCACATTTTGCCGGCCTCATCTTCCAAAAGGGCTCCGAACGTGACAGTTTTTTTCAACGTTTTGCAGCGCAAACCAAACTTTCGCCACAGTCCTGTGCACTTTTTTTCGAAAAATTCCCAGATCGAGCCCCGAACCTACTTCGGCGACCCCTGGAGCCACATTATCCTTTAAAACATAGGGTTTCGCGCTCGAGAGTGTTTTCACCCGCGAATTCATGCGCTCCCGAAGTGTCACTCTGCTCTACCGCTCCCACGCCGAACTGCTGTGACATGATGATCACATGATGACATGGTGTGATGGCATGATGATGACATGGTGCGATGACATGATGAACAGACTGCCTCTGGGCATTCATCCGTAACTCGGTACTTTTCGAACTAAACTTCGTTTGGCAATGTCTTAGATGGGTCGTTGAAACTAGTCATAAGGTTTTTTTGAAGTGCGTGCCAAAGTCAAGATAAGTGTTGTTTTTTGTTGTACACTAAGGAATCCGGGTTGAAGACGGGCAAAACACAGTATATATTGGTAGCATTGGGAGATCATACTTTCAAGCAATAAGGAGTCAGTGGAAAAGCGGCAGGCTATGTACAGCAAATTGAGAATTGAACTTGTGAGGCCCCGTGGTCTGGAGTTGTCTGATTTCCAATTCTCCCCCCCTCCTCCTCCTCCTCCTCTTCTTCTTCTTCTTCATTTGTCCCAGCTCCTATCTTTATGATGCCCTCAAGACCCCCTTTGGTATGCTTACTGGTACAGGGGTATTTGTGCGGGGCCTGAAATCATGCCAAGTTTCACTACTTCATGTGAGGTACTTGACTTAGGAACTTTCATGGCTACGTGGGCTTTGCAAATGTTGCGATGTTTCCTGGATACCAGATTTTGGAGAAACTGCTTGAATCCAGCCTGAAACCAGGCACTTGCCCATCAAATCCCCGACCTGGGTTCAAGAAGTTCAACCATTATTAAAGGGCTACGCCCTCTGCCGCCGACCCCTGGACACTGGAGGGTCATGCCTGCCTCTGTGTCGTAAGCATGAAATGAACCCTAAAGAAACCAGAAACTGACCTAAACAAACCATTTGTATGTGCGTTTGGCACTGTGCACATGCAAGCAGCATGGACCCCTGCAGGATGACACGCACAACTATGTGCTCTGACACTTTTTCATGGCTCAAGAAATAGGAGCTTTCGTCATTGGCCAGGTGTCTTGGGGACCTAAAGGGTTGCTCTAGCACTTAAGACCCATACCCGAAGCCCCCGTTCGTAACCGCAGTATGAAACTTTAAATGGCATCCTAAAGAGACCCGAGACGACACTGCACTGCCAACTGCCACCCTGCTCGTGTCCTCCTGGAGCCGGCTTTCGTTCTGCACCGCTTCGGTCCAAGCTGGAGTCCAAGGACCGTGTCGCAGGGCTAAAAACACCATGGCAGTGAAGGGATTGGGCCCCAGACTGCCAAACGTCACTTTCTGAACCGACTAGAAAATAGCTCCCAACCTTGACTTTTCTGCGGTTCTGCCATTGGTGTCCTCCTGGAGCCGCTTTCGTTCGCCACCGCTTCGGTCCAAGAATGGAGTCCAAGGACCGTGTCGCCGGGCTTTTAAACAACCATGGCAGTGACGTGAAGGACGGGATTGGGCCGCGGCCGTATCCCAGACTGCCAAAACGTCACTTTGAACCGGGAAACTTTTTGTAGAAACTAGCTCCAAACCTTGACTTTACCTGCGTTTCTGCACTGCCAACTGCCACCCTGCTCGTGTCCTCCTGGAGCCGGCTTTCGTTCTGCACCGCTTCGGTCTAAGCTGGAGTCCAAGGACCGTGTCGCAGGGCTAAAACACAATGGCAGTGAAGGACGGATTAGGCCCGCGGCCCGTATCCCAGACTGCCAAACGTCACTTTCTGAACCGACTAGAAACTAGCTCCAAACCTTGACTTTTCCTACGTTTCTGCACTGCCAACTGCCCCCCTGCTCGTGTCCTCCTGGAGCCGGCTTTCGTTCTACACCGCTTCGGTCCAAGCTGGAGTCCAAGGACGTGTCGCAGGGCTAAAACACCATGGCAGTGAAGGACGGATTGGGCCTGCGGCCCGTATCCCAGACTGCCAAACGTCCCTTTCTGAACCGACTAGAAACTAGCTCCAAACCTTGACTTTTCCTGCGTTTCTGCACTGCCAACTGCCACCCTGCTCGTGTCCTCCTGGAGCCGGCTTTCGTTCTGCACCGCTTCGGTCCAAGCTGGAGTCCATGGACCGTGTCGCAGGGCTAAAACACCATGGCAGTGAAGGACGGATTGGGCCCGCGGCCCGTATCCCAGACTGCCCAACTCCACTTTCGAAGATAGAACTAGCTCCAAACCTTTGACTTTTCCTGCGTTTCTGGGCCACTGCCAAACTTGCCAACCCGCATTCGTTTGTACTCCGAGCAAACGTCACTTTCTGAACCGACTAGAAACTAGCGCCAAACCTTGACTTTTCCTGCGTTTCTGCACTGCCAACTGCCACCCTGCTCGTGTCCTCCTGGAGCCGGCTTTCGTTCTGCACCGCTTCGGTCCAAGCTGGAGTCCAAGGACCGTGTCGCATGGCTAAAACACCACGGCAGTGAAGGATGGATTGGGCCCGCGGCCCGTATCCCAGACTGCCGTCCCTTTCTGAACCGACTAGAAACTAGCTCCAAACCTTGACTTTTCCTGCGTTTCTGCACTGCCAACTGCCCCCCTGCTCGTGTCCTCCTGGAGCCGGCTTTCGTTCTGCACCGCTTCGGTCCAAGCTGGAGTCCAAGGACCGTGTCGCAGGGCTAAAACACCATGGCAGTGAAGGACCCCAGACTGCCAAACGTAATTTTCTGAACCGACTAGAAATTAGCTCCAAACCTTGACTTTTCCTGCGTTTCTGCACTGCCAACTGCCACCCTGCTCGTGTCCTCCTGGAGCCGGCTTTCGTTCTGCACCGCTTCGGTCCAAGCTGGAGTCCAAGGACCGTGTCGCAGGGCTTTAAAACACCATGGCAGTGAAGGACGGATTCGGCCCGCGGCCCGTATCCCAGACTGCCAAACGTCACTTTCTGAACCGACTAGAAACTAGCTCCAAACCTTGACTTTTCCTGCGTTTCTGCATTGCCAACTGCCACCCTGCTCGTGTCCTCCTGGAGCCGGCTTTCGTTCTGTGGCCGGTAGCCCAGAGTGCCAAACGTTACTTTCTGAACCGACTAGAAACTAGCTCCAAACCTTGACTTTACCTGCGTTTCTGCACTGCCAACTGCCACCCTGCTCGTGTCCTCCTGGAGCTGGCTTTCGTTCTGCCCAGCTCCGGTCCAAGCTGGAGTCCAAGGACCCTGTCGCATGGCTAAAACACCATGGCACTGAAGGACGGATTGTGCCCGCGGCCCGTAGCCCAGACTGCCAAACGTTACTTTCTGAACCGACTAGAAACTAGCTCCAAACCTTGTCTTTACCTGCGTTTTCTGCACTGCCAACTGCCACCCTGCTCGTGTCCTCCTGGAGCTGGCTTTCGTTCTGCCCAGCTCCGGCCCAGGCCCGGGGTCCAAGGACCCTGTCGCAGGGCTAAAACACCATGGCAGTGAAGGACGGATTGGGCCCGCGGCCCGTAGCCCAGACTGCCAAACGTTACTTTCTGAACCGACTAAAACTAGCTCCAAACCTTGACTTTACCTGCGTTTCTGCACTGCCAACTGCCACCCTGCTCGTGTCCTCCTGGAGCTGGCTTTCGTTCTGCACAGCTTCGGTCCAAGCTGGAGTCCAAGGACCCTGTCGCAGGGCTAAAACACCATGGCAGTGAAGGACGGATTGGGCCTGCGGCCCATATCCCAGACTGCCAAACGTCACTTTCTGAACCGACTAGAAACTAGCTCCAAACCTTGA